TTAACCCCCCCCCCCCCCAGGGTCTACGGCTCTTCTCGTATGAGGCCTTAGATTCCCATCATCGGGGGAGACATCATCGTCCTCATCAACCAATGAGAACTGTTGAGGAGCGGGGGCAGCAGATGGGATAGAGGTGGAACCAGAAGCGGCATCAACCAGGACAGGGGTAGGTACAGTAGGCCCTGCAGCCACGACGAGAGCAGAAACTGAAGGCGTAGCAGTCCTCCTCCGAAAAGAAGGCACATGCGCCCGACTCCTTCGAGAAGACCCCCGTACCTAGGAAAGGAAGAAACATATAAGTTAGCAGAGCGAGCTGATGTACAACAAAAAGGTGCAACGACCACGGCCAGGAAAGAGAAGTTACCTGCTAAAGGGAGGGCCGGTCTGAACTTCTTAAAGAAGCTTGTCAAGTCGCAAATCCCTACGGCATGAAGGAGAATCTGCTTGACCCAATCGACAATGCGCTCGACTAGAGGAGGAGGTTGGTTGTTGGCTGCAAGGAAGGAAAAATCACTTAACTAGCTCAAAATAAGCAAAGAGATGCGAAAGACGAAAAGATAAAAACCGGACACTTACGTGTGTAGTTCCAAGCCTCAGGGAAGCCGTCGATGTTAGCTACGACGTCCTCAGTCCTGACGTAAAAGAAATCAAGTCAGAACAGGCGACTGGCCTTGTCGTCCATCTTCACCACCAAACACTTACCTCCACGGTGGAAAAGGTTCAACATCGTCCCTCTATAGAAGCCAGGGGCGAATAAGGGCACCAAATGCCGCACCGTCACTTCGACCCCCGCGAGCTTGGCAAATTTGGTCAACATCTTGATGACTTTGAAGACATAAGGGACGAGCTGAGCGGGAAAAATGCCGTAGTGGCGACAAAACTCTTCCACCAGCGGGGGAAGAGGAAATGAGTAATCAATAAAGAATGGGTACGCATATAGAGCGCATTACCTAGGGATGTGAACATGCACTTCGTCCCCTTCAGCGGGGATCAGTTCGATGTGGTTGGTTAGGCCGAATGTGGCTTTAAATTCACCTAACTGCTTGGATGCCATCGTCGATAGGAAATGTTCAGTGTCGCGTCCGGTGATCGGTGGAGATTGGACCTGGCTTCGAGGTTGCAGGGAAGTATCTCCCCCACCTACGGAAAAGCTTCATCCTCAACAACGGCAGCAACATTCTCCTCGTGAGTAGGAAACACAACCGCCAAGGGAGCAACGCGACTCCCTTCACCAGCATCAGATGATAAGTTTGACATATTTATGAGAGAGTAAAGAAGGAACCTGGGAAGAGAACAAAGATACAGAGAAGAAGGTTCAGAGAGAGTTTGAAATCTCGAAAGTTTAGGAGAGTAAAAATTTCAAAATCGGGTTTGGTCCTCCCTATTTATAGAGATTGAGGCACCAAATTCAAAACGGTTTGTCATAATGGGCACCAAACCCGAAACAACTCATCATGATTAGCACTGAAATCAAAACGGCAGATCCCATCAAAGATCACACTCAAATCGACGCAATGCATCGAGAACAAGTGTCATCATGACGTATGACGTCACCCCCTCTCTTGGACCAGATGGCTCCAACAAATCACCCGAAAATTTAAGGAATTTGAAACACGCGGCCTACGAAGAGCCACTTCGCCTGCTCGCTACAACGACTACGACCCATGGTATCTGTTCAACAAGCTCGACCATGAACGATATTATCTGCTCATCGAACTCGCCCGCGAGGACGACCTCAACAAGTGGAGGGACTAACTGTATGAGACAAAAATTATCTTATTTATGATTAAACCATATCAGCATTAAGAGCACCTTCAAGACCTGCCACGTGTCACCAATATGATTTCGACAAAGGGCATGCTTAAGGTCAAAGTAGTCTCACAAGAGATGAAGGGCAGGATCGAGGAGTTAACATAGATCAAGGTCGAGGACGAGCATTCGTCCTAAACAGAGTTATAACGGCTAGTTTTAGGATAAGACTCTAAACAGAATATTCCAGTGGATATTCTCTGTATTTGTACTATTAGAATTTTTTGGCACATGTTCCCTTATAAAAAGAAAGAGGCATAGTTGTAGGGGACATTGGACACTCACTTGTAAGACAACACATTGACATTCTCCGAAGATTCTTACTTTATTATACACATACAAAATACACCTTTTTCTTGAGATTCTTGTCTAACTTTTCTCCCATGATCCGAGGAGAATCCGAATATTTAAAGGCTCATCAATCATTCATCATTGTCAGAAAGAATACTAAAGAATCTCACCCTTTTCGGATGACTCACTTGCCTTTATTTACTTAAATACCATTCTTTGCTATTAAATACTATCTCCCTCATTTTTGGATCGTTGAATATTACAGTGTTGTTATCATTTACCGCTAATTAGATTATACCCGTATTGTCTTGCCATACAAAATCGGTTAACGCATCTTTTGGATATTAACATTGGCTAAGATTAACTCTATGTTACTAGAAAATCTAATTGTTTAAACCTAGATCTAAATTTTGGGTCAAACAATATGTTCCAAAAATATTGACAACTTTCTATTTTTTAAAACTATTTAACTTTTAATATTTATTTTACCCTTAATAAACAAATTTATCACTATAACAGACAAAATCTACCCACTAAGGTGACTTTATTGTTATAGTGAGTAAAGTTTTATGACTTAACTACTATAATAGGTAAAGTTTTATTACATTAATATTACAAAAATATTTTTGACTTTAATATTATAGTAGGTAAAGTATAGTTACTTCAATGTTACAAATAATTGTGACTTTACTATTATATTGGCTAAACTTTAGTGATCATATAAGAAGTGAAGGAATAAAGTGTTAACAATCAGAGACGAATCTAAGGATTTTATTTTAAGGAGATGGGCGCATCACTACTGCCATCGTGAGAGAGAACGAGTCATGCGGGTGGGATGCCAAAATTGCAATTCCAGCAATTGCTTAAAAACATGGGAAATAAAAAAGAACTATACTGCAGCTTGAAAGCGCAAACATGCCATTCTACAGAATTATACTTAAATACAGAATATGCATAAAATATCTTTCATTCGTCATGAATATACTTCTGGATATCGTTCAAGATTATCGCTAAAAGGCTTTCACTTCCAAAGAAATAAAGGCTAAACTAATATACAATAGACAATCCCATCTCTCCCCTGATGAACTTCCTGTACTGCTGTATAGCTCCTTTGTCGAGAAAAATCTACACAACCAGCTTTCAGTGAGTTTGAAGCGCACAAGGCTGGGTGCAAACTGAGTTAACTTTGAGGTCAATATATCCAAAACGTTATCATTTATGCAACTTCATCACCTAACAGCTTCTGGTGCAGAGTTGCAGTAAGGTGTATGCAAACAAACCAACTTAGTAAATGCTAGACAAATACTCGTAAACAAAATGCCTATTATCAGTCCCGTAATACTCTTCTGCTTTTCGAGACTCATTGCCCTCTTAAAAATGCTCCCAAAACATGGAAGTAATCCCCCACAGGCAAACATCATGATGTGGTCCAGACCACTGTAGTCAATACCTGCAAGTATTGCTCCGATTGCAGATGACGGACTTATGAAGCCAATAAGCGCAGCAGCTAAAAGGGACGCATGCCAGCTGTCAGTTGCTCCGTAAATGCAGCTAGCAACAGCTGCACCACGTGGCAGTCCGTGAAGTGAGACAGGAAGAACCATGTGCCGACCAAGTCCATAAGCTTTAGGTGCAGCGACCCCCAAAGCAAGCCCCTCTGAAAGTGCATGGAGGGCAACTGCAGCACAACACAGGATTGACTGAAGGGTGAGAGCACTAACTGGAAATCCGGTTACAGTAGATAAAGTATCTGCTGAAGTCCTCTTGCGACTTCCAATTTTAGTGACACTAGCCGTTGAAAAATGGGAAAATGAGAATCCTGTTGCGAGGAGCGATACAAGGGGGATAAACCCCATCTTTGAAGATAAGACTAGCTGCAATGGACGCCATGCACCGAGGATGAAGGCTGTGCCGCAGGCTACACCAGTCAGGAGAGCATGCTGAAGACGAAAAGCAAGAGCAAATGCAACAAGAGATACACCACCAAGCAGTGGACCAAGTCCGAAAAGTAGAGAAACAAGGAAAGCAGAAGCATCCTCCGAACTGCCATTGCAACATGAATTGGTTAGAGAGACAGCACACATCAAACTTATACTAATGGGAGAATCTATATCAAACTAAAAAACCATATATAGCTTAAACATATTACAGATTCATTCATGTCTTTCAATCCTTAGGTACCTTGCAGTAAAAACAGCAAATTATGCAAACTGGAATGACAATGAAACATTTTGCTCTGATATCATAAAAACACACAATGATTCTCTCGACTTCCAAAAAAACTTATCTTAACATACCATAAAACCCTGAATATTATTTCTACGATTAGTACCCCATAACCTTCACAAAAAAAGCTCCAGCTTTCCCTAATATACAAAGTCAATAGAATTTTCCCTGTTATCGGTTGCATCAACACTCTAAACAAACCGCAGCAATGATAAGAAATAGACAGACAAACAAGCTATACCACAAACCAAAGCAACAGAATACAGCTAGAGCGGGAGGTCCTTCTCAAGTTCAATGCCATTTAACCAATTAACTAAAAGCAAAAGAAGAAGACTTCAAAATAAAATCTAGAAGAAAAAGATAAGACATCTTAGCAGTGAAAAACTCTTATCATCCCAAGACTAACAGTACGGCTTTTCTACTTCTCTTCACCAATATGTTTCTTCTACTGTTATTGTCATTGCAGGGTTGGGGAAGCAGAGATGTAGGGCAGGTGAAAGATGAACTCACTTGTAGTTGTGGCCGAAACTCTGGAACAGAGCACTAAGAGCTTCCATAAATGCTACTGAAAGAGTAGCAGCTGATGCAACATGAGATGGTGAGGCTTCCTGCACATAGAGAACCATAAGTTCCAAATTAAAGGAAAATGTAATATTGTTAAAGACTACAGGAAATAGTGCTAGATTATAAAACCTAAGATCCAGATTTAGGTTGTGGAATTAATGTTATCATTGTTTCAAGAAGATGTCAATGAGATGCTACAAAATAGAGTATTTCCTTTTGAACTAACATCCATAAAGTCAATTTCACTTGGACAAATAGAAGTGTCATTATCATTCTGGTCTACTGATTTTAATCAGTTGATAAAATTCAAAGAGTCAACTCCATCTAAAGTTCCATAGAACAGTACATTAAGTGCTTCTCCACATATATTACAGTCCAAGATACGCCCATTTCTTGCCAACTAAAAACATCATGGATCACTAAAGTGCATTCTTTTAATTTTTCTATATCCTCAATTTCTCCCTCTTTCTTCCTTTTATTTTCTCTTTTTCCCCCTTTAGGAGGGTGGAAGGCACCATACAAGTCAGTTATGGAAGCTCTTTCGAAAATTAAGAGGGGCATTAAACAGATTACCTTGAAACCATCAGGAAGAACCTCAGCAACAACTATCCAAATCATACACCCAGCAGCAAAGCCAGTAGCAAATGGTAGAAATTTGTTAAATGCATCGGCACAGATAAATGATGGTACTGCAACAATAGGCTGCATTTAAAAGGAATTAAAGGTTTAGACATCAATATACCATGAGTACTGACAAATGGAAACTGAATATTACTAAACCGAAAACTAAAAATAATATATTATGCCTCACTTGTTCATAAATATGCAATAATCCATACTAGTGCCCACAAGAACAATATACATTGTTGTTACAAGCACCTCTTATAAAAGACAAAGACTACGTATCACAAATGACAAAATCTGGTTTGACCTTTTTTTAAAAAGGAAAGTAAGTTGTATATTAAAAAGAGGAACAGCTTAGCACTAAGATGGTGCTAAGACAGTACAAATTTCTAGAACCCCTCTGTACAAAAACAAAAAGAAGGTTTTCTACTTTGAAAGAATCTGGTTTGACTTGTATCACAATGAGATAATAGTTATAGGAATCAGCGAGAACAATGTAAATACATCCCAACTTTCAGTTGTCTACTAAGAAATCCCCAAATCCGAATTTGTAAAAGATGGTATATATTCAATCACCTGCGGTAAGGAAGTTAATATACTCCATAGCATGGCATTCTGCGGAGAAACTCCTCTTGATGCAAGAACCATGCTCACAGCTAAACCCTCGGGTATGTTGTGCACGGCAATAGCCAGAGTTACCAAGATACCCTGAGAAAGACCTTTCGAGCCAGCAAAGGATACTCCAACACCAGCACCCTCCCCAAATGAGTGAAGGGTCATAATCCCAACAACAAGGATGACTTTTGCTGCATCTGCTCCCTTAATGTCCAGCATACTCACTTCACCATATTGTTCAAGAAACTGAATATGAACAGACATAAAACATGAGGAATTGCAAGAGGGGAACGAAGAAATTTGTCAAGCTATGCAAGATTAACAAGAGTTCATGCACAAAAGACAATTTTTTTAATAGAATGTTTACTTCAATCGCAGAAGAGACGACGTATCCTAAACTCAGCCCACAGGTCAAGCTTATGTAACCAGCATTAGCTAGTAATATGGCAAGGCTTTTATTATGTCCTTCAGTCAATAGAATTTAGAAACAAGAATACAGCACACTATATCTGACATCCACTCAACAGAATGACTGGAACTGAAAAGCAGTAGCGTCTCTGCTTAACTCCATAAGACCTATTACCAACACCTCCAATATCCCAAAATGGAAGTCAACATTTAGTGGTAAAAGGTGGACACCCATGTACTTCCTTCAGATACAGTAAATGTTTCAAGACACTGACATGCAAGAAAGTTGAAACCATGATGTCCAGAAGAAGCTTGCAAGTAGGATCCCATAACTTCTTATTGATCAAACAGAAATATTTAGGGAAATGTCTCCCACTTTGATCGTAAGTACTCTAAGTTTGAAAATAGCGGGAAAGCTAATAAACGTTACGGCCCTATAAAATTTGTAAGATAACAGGCCAAAGATACTGAAAGAGCAGCAGTGCTTGCCGTGTATCAAGCTTTACTTACTCATGGAACATTTTCCTTTTTTTATCTAGCTTACGAGTGACAGCAACCACATGATAGTAGTGATGACAACAGAATTACTTAATGGTATTCAATAAAACCACTTAATGTTATTCAATAGCAGAAACGATATAAAACTAACGGAAGGACGAAAACTGGAGAACAAGAAAGCCGTGAAAATGGGCCTTTTTCACCTTCTTACAAAGCAGAATGAAGATCCCACCAGCCAAAATACCAAATACAACCCATCCACCACTTCCATGATCCTGTCCTTCCTGTATAAGGTCAAAGCTCGCTGCCAACATCACTCCAGCAGCCATTCCATTGCATATTCCCGACCACTGAGGATCCAACTCCACAAAGAAAAATGGTATTGCTCCCAGACCACTAGCCGCAGCCATTGCCAAGGTGAACAATGCAACAGTTGAAACAGAAACTCTGGTGTTATCACCAGTCCATTCACCTTTTCCATCTACACTGACAGAATCTACATCATATTCTTTACCAGAACCATCAATTATATTGGTTCGGGCATTCCTTAAAGGAGCGGTTATTACCCTTTGTACGCTCACTTCTTCAAATGCATCTGTGACATAAAAAATCAAAGCTGATACAAACAGAAAGAATAAAAGAAGTTGCCCAAATCTCGACCCCATCATCATGATTACATCAACAAATAATTCTAGCACTGAAATTCCTCAAAACTAGTATAATCATCAAGAGGGTCATTGGAAAGTCATCATCATAGATGGCTGCAGCCTTCACCAGAAACTCCCTTTGGAACAACTCTCTTTGTGGTAAGCTTCTTCCACTATCAGAAGCCATTGCATACTGAATTCCCGATCAATCTAAAAAATACCATTCCTGGTAATGTTGTCAAGGTTCTAACTGGTCCCTTCTGCGCTAGAATCATTAGCAACACAGTTAGGTCTCAATCAATTCAACAGAACTGTAGAAAAATTCTAAGAGACAAATAGAAGCCATGATAAGAAGACCAACAGCAAACTGAACAAAGTAGCCACTTATTGCACCTACTTTCCTCAATGCACGCATTATCTCTACTTCGAGTAAAAAGTTCATCTTGATGATTTAGTTAATACACACCAAATAATTTATGCATGATACGCTTGGTTAGAGAGTTCGCCAGTTAACAGAAAAATGGAGAATGATTTGAGATTGACGAGAAAGAAGTATAAGAACTAGACAACAGGAATAACAAAGAAGAGTCTAACAACTCAACAAGGAATCCTAACTCCGGAATACACTAAAGTAGGAGAAACAGTCTTTCCTCAGTAGTCCAAAGTTTTAGTAAAAGTGAGACTTGGCTCATGATTAGATGATATCCCAAACAGCACATATATCACTTGTAATCCCTGAATATGATCAACAGAGATTAAACTTAGCCTTCTCTTAGTGCTAACAAAATTTGAGCTTTTTGGCAACATATCTCATTATCAGTTCTATTCCTCCTACCAACCAAAGAAGCTATCACTTTTTGCACCAGTCTATCATCAGAATTAGTATTAACTACCAAATATTTCTATCAAAATTCAAGTGATAATCTGTCATACCAATACATTGCACACCTCAAAAACCCAAACACAAACTCAACAATACTTAATACTACAAAAACATTAATCAGCAAAATTTAAAGCACAAAGCTTCATATGAAAATAAAGTTTAAACTAATAGACAAAGTAACAACAGGCAAAAACAAAACTTCTTAAACAAAACCACCATCCCCAGCTACCCCCCACCCCCC